CACAGCCCGGGCCTGCCCAGGGTCTGGCAGGGAGGATGAAGGGGAAGAGATTGCATCCCTGGAGTTGATTTCTCTCTCTCTTTCTCTCTGTCTTTATCCTAGAGGCAGGGAGTCTTACAGCAACCCCAACAACAAAAAGAAATAGGGACTACAGAAGTGAGAGAAAGTGCAGAGCCACTAGCAGGACAGGCAAACTGGCAGAAATTCTCTCTGCTGCAATCCAGGTGCTTTTGATACTAGATCCTGCTGTACCTGGGGGCTGGACATGCAGGGCGCTGGCACTGTGTATCCCTGCGTTCATTCCACCAACATGCAATGTGTATTTATTTCTCGAGTGTCTGGCATAATAGTGGCATAATAGGTGTTGGGGACGCGAAAGTGAAAAGAGGAAGTTGGCTGGGTAGAGAGGGCCAGCTCTTTCAGGACTTCCGGGACAAGGCATGGGCGACGTTAGTCATATCCAGAGGCGTGAGTGAGGCAGCTGTGAGGGTAGACAGTAGAAACCCGATCCAAACTCGCATAAGCAGTGAGAGCGATTGTTTCCTTAAGTCAACAAGTAAATAAAAGTTCAGAGGAAAGAAGGTGATGGAGGCAAGACCCGATCCAAACACTAATAGCAACCTGTTTTCTTCCTATCTGTTGTGTTATCAGAAAAGTCATGTATTTTTATTTCCTGTGCAAAAATGTGTCCTGACTTTTCTGATAACCTAATAGTTCTGCTGTCTTTTGTTAGACTCTTTCTCAAATAGGCTTTCCCCAAGGATTTAGAAAGATGGTCACCAGCAAGTCCAAGCTTATATTCCACCAGCTTAAAATTTTAGAGGGAAGTTTCAGCAGTTTCATTTCAGTAACATTAGATTTCTTTTTGGAGGTTTTTGCTATAGGGCATGTGTGCTCGCCAGAAAGACAAAGAGAGACAGAGAGATAGAAAGCGAGAAATCACCCTCCAGGGGGGATGGCCATGCCACAATCCCTTCTCCTCCATTCTCCTCTCAGGATCTTGGGCATGCACGCACACGCGCCCGGCATGAGTTTAAGTCACCTGGTCCGGGACTCAAACCGTGGTCGACTACATGGGAGTCCAGCAACGTAGCCATTATGTCATCTGCTGTTTGCTCAGGAAAATTAGATTTTAATTGATCTATCTGAATAAGCCACTGGATCAAGGAATGACTGGAATATCTTGTGCCTTCCCACAGACTGGAGTGGGAGGTAGACAGCCTCTTTCAAATCAGATGGACTGAGAGTAGGAGGAAAAGTGGTCCCAACGAAGGAAAACAGAAGGGGTTCTGGCCGAATAAAAGCCTTCGGTGTCCATAATGCGGGACTATGCACTGTTCCTGGGTCACTTCCTTGGGCCATTATTGCAACTCTGGTTTATAACTGACTGTTGCCCTAGAATATAAACTTCACCTAATTGATGGTTTCTTCATAGTGTAAGCTCTATATACACGGGGCCTTGTCTTATTCAGTATTATTCCAGTGTTATTCAGAGGCTCTTGCACGTAAAAAGCTAGCAGTAGATTACATGTTTCCTATCTCTTTCTTTCCTCTTCATCCTTTCTAGTGTCAGAGGTCATGTCTCAAAGAGGCCCTGCAGAAAGGACATCTTCCCTGGCAGTAAAGACACCCAACAAATACTTCTAGAAGTGAAAGGCAATGATATTCAGCTCATCCTAGGCATCAATCGGCCTTTATTGTTGCCTGCAGCTCTAGGGGTTTAGAAGGATGTGATACTCATATCAAAACCCACAATGCTTCCTTTTTTCTTTCTTTTTTCCTTATCTTTTCTTGTTTTTTTGTTTGGTTTGTTTTGGTTGGTTGGTTTGTTTGTTTTAAATTGCCAGAGAGCACATGCACTTGTCAGAGCGAGAAAGCTTCCCCCAGTAGGGTGTGGTCACACCACAATCCCTTTCCTCCTTTCTCCTTCCCGTCTGCATTCTGGGCGCGCATGCACATGCGCTTGGGATGTTTCATGAGCCACTGGGATGGCTACATGCTGTGGTTGGCCACATGGGACCTTGCCCCCAGTACTCAGCACTTTGCCACTGCACTGCGGGGCCGCCGTCCCCTTTGCTTTCTCTGCATATCTGTTCCTCTCCTTTTGTCTCTCTCCGATTTAGGCGTCTCCCCTTCCCTTGCTCTAGCTACTCCTGGCCCTGTGATTTTTCTCTCAGTGGAGCGTCCTTTCATCCTTTCTTCCTTTCTTTCCAAAAAGTGATTTATCTGTATGGCTTCCCTGTCCCTTTCAATGCACTCCTCTTTCTCATGTCTCACCTTCTCTTAATCTGTCCCTTCATGGCTCATAATACAGCAATGGGATTTTTATATTAATTCTTGAATATATATTGGGTTGTTGGAAAAGTCGTGATGCATCTTTGCATAGAAAAACATAGAAAAATACATCATGGCTTTTCTGATGCCTTAATAGATACCCAATAGTCTTCGTTTTTAAGGATTAGTGACTACCGAGAGGAAGTAGACCCTCTGTAATATAAGAAGCACTATCACCTCTCCAGAATTAGTTTTGCAATAAATAGAATGTATTATTATTATTTTTAGAGGGATTTTTTTGCTATAGGGTATGTTGCTCACCAGAGAAACAAAGAGACAGAGAGACAGAAAGCAAGAAATCACCCCTTGGGGGGATGGTCATGCTGCAATCCCATCTCCTCCATTCTTCCCATGGGATCTTGGGCACGCACACATGTGCACCACCAGCATGAATTTTAAGCCACCAGGTCTGGGACTCAAACTGCATTCAACTAAGTGGGATTCTAGTGACATAACCTCTACATCATCTGCTGGTCCCAACAATAAACAGAATTTAAATGAACTAATTCTATGATATAGTTGTTTATAGAGGAAAAACCATCAAATATAAAGTTGTAGAGACCTAGTGCTTTAACTCTAAGCTCAGATAAGAGGTAAAAATCAGCTATTATACAAAAGAACAACATGTAAGGTTTAGAAAATCAATTATTCCATTATTTTTGAAAAAATTAAACAGAATTTTGTTTTTGACAGTGAAATTCCTAAGGACTCCTTGAAGGCCACCCTGCTGGAGTTAGAGTGTCATTTTACGTGGAATTTACTTAAGGAAGACATTGACCTGTTTGATGTGGAAGATACGATCAGGCAGCAGCTTGAGTTCCTCACCACAAAATCCAGACTCACTCTTTACAACCTCTTGGCTTATGTGAAACACCTCAAAGGCCAAAATAAAGAAGCTCTAGAGTGCTTAGAACAAGCAGAAGGAATAATCCAGCGAGAACACGCAGACAAAAAAGACGTGCGAAGTCTGGTCACGTGGGGAAACTACGCCTGGGTGTTCTATCACCTGGGCTGGCTCCAGGATGCTCAGAAGTATTTACACAAGGTGGGGAATGTCTGCAAGAGCTTGTCCAGCCCTTCTAGCTACAAGCTGGAGTCTCCTGAGATTGACTGTGAGAAAGGGTGGGCACTCTTGAAATTTGGAGGCAAGTATTACCAGAAGGCTAAAGCCACTTTTGAGAAGGCTCTGGAGGCAGACCCTGACAACCCGGAATTTAACATCGGCTATGCTATCACGGTGTATCGGCTGGATGACTTTGATAGGAAATGGTCTGTAAAGAGCTTTTCTCTGGGCCCTCTGCAGAAGGCTGTCACCTTGAACCCAGAGAACACCTACATCAAGGTTTTCCTGGCCCTGAAACTTCAAGACGTGCATGAAGAAGCTGAAGGGGAGAGGTACATTGAAGAAATCCTGGACCAGGTGTCCTCCCAGCCCTATGTCCTTCGTTATGCGGCTAAATTCTACAGGAGAAAAAATGCCTGGGACAAAGCTCTCCAACTTTTAAAAAAGGCCTTGGAGGCGACACCAACATCTTCTTTCCTGCACCACCAGATGGGACTTTGCTACAGGGCCCAGATGATCCAAATCAAGAAGGCCACGCGCAACAGACCTAAAGGCAAGGACAAGCTGAAGGTGGACGAGCTCATTGCATCCGCCATAGGCCACTTCAGAGCCGCGGTGGAACAAGATTCCATGTTTGTCTTTGCCTACCTGGATCTGGCCAACATGTACGCCGAGGGAGGCCAGTACAGCAACGCCGAAGACATTTTCCAGAAAGCCCTTCGTCTGGAGAGCATCACCGACGATCACAAGCATCAGATCCACTACCACTATGGCCGCTTTCAGGAGTTTCACCGTAAATCAGAAAGCACTGCCATCCACCATTACTTAGAAGCCTTAAAGGTTAAAGACAGGTCATTCCTGCACACCAAACTGACAAGTGCTCTGAAGAAACTGGCTACCAAGAGGCTGTGTCACAACGCCTTGGATGTGCAGAGTTTAAGTGCGCTAGGCTTTGTTGCCAAGCTGGCAGGGGAGAAGAGGCAAGCCATCTACTACTATGAGAGGGCCCAGAAGATAGATCCGGAAAATACGGAATTCCTGGCTGCTCTCTGCGAGCTCCGGCTGTCCATTTAAGTATATCTGCTAGGAAATTAGGTCTAAGCGTTTCCTTGCCTTTTTATTTGTTGTTTGAATCCACGTTCAGCGTAGAGCCAGGATTTGTTGAATGGTTGTAGATCACGCATCACAATGTCTATACATGTCTACAGATACTCTGGGTACATTATGATGAATCTTTTCTACTTAATCTTTTTTAATTAAAATACTGTAATTCGTTGAGAAATAGCAACACTCTAGCTGTCGTGAACTTTGAAAAATGGTATGGCCATTATGACTTTAGACACTTTAGCCCTGCTGTTTATAATAATTTCAATTTTTTTATCAGATTTCCCACATTACTTATGCAGTGTCTATAAACTTTTATAAGCCGTTGATACCTAGGTTAAGAATATTCTTACAGGAGTGCACGATTATATTAGTTAACCTCCTAACTGTGTAGCTTGCAAAAATAGAACTTTCCCTTTGCATTTGGACTTTCATGAGGATATTTTAACATCAACCTGATAGTCACCTAAAGGATCTTCTGTATTGGGAAATAAAGTTAATAATTATAAAAAGTTTTGTCATCTTTAGTGACTTCAATAAAAGGAGAGAAAACTAGAACAAGAGATTTAAAAAAGGATTTCTTCACATTTTAAGTAACATAGAGCTTCAGGAATCCATGAGAAACCAGAAGTGTCATCTCCCAACATATTCATTAAGAAGTTAGAAGTAATTATGAGAAAAAAAACGTAACAGAAAATCCTTAGTCTCGAGTTTCTGGTTTTTTGGTTTTAACTAAAACAAACAAACAAACAAACAAACAAACAAAAAAACACTCTCAATGCGACTAATTTTATGTTTTCCAATTAAAATTGCAAAATGTTTAGGTTAAAATCATTGAGATAATAGAGCAATTGAGAAATTGGGAGAAATGATAAGTAAACTAATAAATGTTTTCACCCTACATTCCTAGATTACCAAGAATTCAATATATTAGTTTCGAATCTAGACTGAGTAGAGTTCTTCTACCCCCAATTTTTGACCTTCGGGTAGCTGTCTTGATACCCTCAAGTGACTTCTGTGAAGCTTTTCCTTTGGTCTGAAGTTTTATGTTTCTTTCTTTCTTCCATGAAGGAGAAAGACAGTCACCCACAGTAGGATCCACCCCTGGCCTCAGCCAGCAAGGGCATGGGCATGCAAGCATCTGTCTGGTATATGTGGGAGATGTCAGGACGAGAACCTGGGACCTTCGGGTCCTCAGTATCATGAACGTTGTGTTACCACTATACCACTGTGGCTGCCCTTCACGTCTGAAGTTTTTTGGATGATCATGTGTTCCTGTAGATCCTCCCAGAATAGTTAAGCCCTGCTTCCAATTTTGTCATCTTTTATAGCATGAGAGACCACTGCTTATCTCAGAGGAATTTAACAATGTGGCATGTTGCTAAATGTAGCCTGTGTGATTATACAGCGCACAATTATGTACACCTCGGTTTTAGTGGAGAGTTATGCCATGCGATTGACTTCTCCATTCTTCCAGCGTAGTTCATAAAATTGTTATGTATATGTGTAAATGGCTTCCTTTTTGTTATTATCCTTATTTACTTATTTCTGTTATGGTTTTAATTATAAAGATAATGAATTTGCATTATAAAAATTGAAACAATACACAGAGTGTGTTTCAAGTAAGAGCTCTCTCCTCACCCTAACCCAGTTTCACATCCCCAAAGTAAACAGTTAACAATTTCAATATGTGTCTTCTAGGCCTTTTATTCTGTGCACATGCAAACATACATAGGTACTGCAGTTAATCTCATTGATTAAAATTTTTTAACGTTAGGTTTTATGTAAGTCTTGCCTGTTTCTATTTATTTTTTCTGTTTAAGAAGGAAGACTAGGGACCAACAGGTGACATAGAGGTTACTTCACTGAACTCCCACATGGTTGACCACAGTTAAAGTCCTGGACCCTGCAGCTTAAAACTCACCCTGAGTACGTGTGTGTGTGTGTGTGTGTGTGTGTGTGTGTGTGT